CTAGTTGTTTTGTGTACATATATCCACAGTATTTTTGCTTTAGTTGAGCTGCATTTTCACTGAATCACACTGTGAATGGCTTTGAGTCCATAGTTTTGGCAAAACAACTCCTCTTGGTAAACTTAGTTTGACTAGAGAAGCAAAGATTGAATGCAGTAGAAGTTGAAAACAGCTCAGACAGGATTTCCAGGCTGTTCCAGTGTAGCAATTCCAGCAAGGATATGGATTATATCGGTGTTCAGTGTAATGCCTGCATTCCTTTTCCTGTTGGTGTGTAGTCGCCATAACAAGGTTTCATAGCATGGAGACATTCTAGTGGATTATTACTAAGGATTTCTTTCTTTCTTTCTTTCTTTCTTTCTTTCTTTCTTTCTTTCTTTCTTTCTTTCTTTCTTTCTTTCTTAAGGAAAAACAGGCACACTGGATTTTTCTTATGTGGCTCTGGTAAATCAGGTACTGTATAGGAATCCTGGTCCATCAGACTCAGGATAAATGAAAGGTTTTTCTAGTGAAACGGAGTGAAACAATGACATATGTTTTGAGTGGATGTGGTGATGGCCACAAGTACATGTGGCATGATTTATAATATAATAAAAAGATACATCTTGAATTGCTATTATTTTGAATCATTCAGAACTGGAACTAACATCCAACCAGCAAAATAAGACCAATCTCAAAATTATCTTTGTAATATGTCAGAACCAACTTATAGCAACTCTAATGGAGTTTTCAAGGTAAGAAACATTTAAGGAGCATTTTAACAGTTCCACACTCCCAGTGAATTTCCATGGCTGAGTAAGGATTTGAATCCAGGACTCTATCCACTATACCACACTGTGTATCCAAATTATCTACCACATGGTAATTATTTCTGTTGCTTCATTATTCAGTGGATTTCAAGAAATCCACATATTTATCATGTGTCTCATATTTTTCCTTTCTCATATAATCTTAGTTTTTTATTCTTTCCCTGTCTCTTCATTATTATTCTGCATCTTTGAATAACGTTAAGATGAAGCAGAGTCATTTGTGATTTTGAATGAAGACAGATCCTCTGATGAGTAAGGTCTCTGTGATACACTAGTGAACTGTTCAGAATGGCCCATTCTGGATTTTCTAAGGCTTGTCCTTTTCTCCCCTGGGACTGTAAAACATGGATCCCTTAACTGGGCGGAGTGTCATAGCTGGTGCCTTGTGGCTGTCTTGAAGTGTCATGTTGGGTGATTCTACTGTAAGCAGCAGCATAGGATATGGCTTGGTTTTTTTTTTATTCATTTGATTTGATTTGATTTGTGTACAGCCCATCTAGCCAAGGCCACTCTAGGTGGTTCGCAACATGATCAAATGATAAAACAATACTACAGATATAAAGTAAAATCAACATATAAACACCATAAAATAAAACAATAATTAAACAATTGCAAATTAACGATTACACATAAGCATGATGTGTAATTGTTCAGTTGCCAAGTTTTGTACATTGCATGGTGAAAGAGAACACATCCTGATGTCTTAATGTATATATTTCAATTCTTAAAAATTTAGCCAAGTATCCTGTTACTGCTTCAACTAAGTGGAGAGATGTCTCAGCATCGTTACCTAAGATCACACCACTTGCCGGTGTTACCATTGTGTAAACAGTGATCTCCAGCATAAAATACACCCCTCAGTAGAAAATCCACCTACAAACACTTTCACAACCATGTCTAATTCCATGTTACACTCCTGGCAGGACTTCACATTGAGTTCAGTGGGAAACTTGCTTTTTTACCATCATGGATGCTCATATATTGTGTTTGCTGAAGAATAGCAATATTCCATCAGTGTTTGTAAGCTAGGTCTGAGTTGATGAGGAAGTAGTTTAGAAGATGCTCAAGTCCTGGATACCTGAGTAGTAAGTAATGACTACCAGTGAAGCATTTGTGCAGTAGTGCCATCTTGTGGCTCAGTTATGTTATCTTTCTCCTGTTCGCTTGGATATTGGCTCCACCCTGTAGCATATGCTTCGGCAGGTCCGTGCGGCTTCTCATCAGCTTGTCTGAACTAGTCTGATGATTTCACAAGTAAACTCTTTATAGCTTTAATGAAAAGGCTTACCATCTTTTATAATACAATTAAGTGTATAACGTGCAGTCTAGCAATCAAAGTTGAAGTTTTTTCATAAAACCCAAATAGGAAGCACATGTGGAATACAGCCTAGTTGCAGATACACACGAAGATGTTACCTGCTTTGGGGGCCTTGGTGGAAACATGCCTAATATGATTGTGAAGTGTCTCACTGAAGGGTTTAAGGGGTTACTGTAACATGATGTCTGTTCACCCAGAAAGTTTTAAAGGGATTTGAACTGTAGGAGTGTTGCATTAACTGAAGGTGCTGCGAAGATGTGCTTGAAATGCGAAATGAGAGGGCAGGCTTGTAACCCCTATTGTAGCCTTTCCCTATAAATGCAAAATAGTGAGGGGCACAGGGCCGGATTAGACATGCATTTATTCTGTTGTTCCAGCTGATATACTTTTTCAGGTAGAGAAGGGGGACCAATCAACATGGAGAAGTGTGTTCAGTTCCATCCCTTTAATTCATAGTCTTGTCGAAAATCATGAAACTGATTTGTTGTTGTTTAGTCGTTGAGTCATGTCCAACTCTTCGTGACCCCATGGACCAAAGCACGCCAGGCCCTCCTGTCTTCCACTGCCTCCTGGAGTTTGGTCAAATTCATGTTGGTCGCTTCCATGACACTGTTCAACCATCTCGTCCTCTGTTGTCCTCTTCTCCTCTTGCCTTCACACTTTCCCAACATCAGGGTCTTTTTCAGGGAGTCTTCTCAAGTGATTATATACTGTATTGTGTATATGTTTTATAGTGGCATTGGTTCAGTTTTAAGAAATATGAAGTACTGTATTAGAATTCAGATTTACAACCAGATTGCTAAGAAGCTTACTGAAATGCAAAATTTGCATATATTATGAGTTGGTTTTATGAATTGGGCAATCTTTTTATTGCACCTCTAGAGGTGTTCTTCCTTTGCTACCTTCATAGGTACTGAACCCAGAACATGCAAAGTTATGATGCATAGATGTTAGCCACGATCAGCTGTAGGCTCTAAAATAAACAATACACAAATCAGATTGGGCAGTGATCCACTTACTAAGTGTTTGCTGATATAAATGCTTTTGGAAATCGTTAATGCTTTGATCTAGTGGTAGAATATACCAGATGGGCGGGGTATAAATCAAATAAATAATAATAATAATCTAGATTTGGGTTTTTCATCTTGGTTTATCCAGAATGCAAGTGCTGTATAAAATCTACTGCATTAAAGAGTGAGGTTTAAAAAACCCATATAACATAAGTGTTTCAAATTGTAGTTTTCTACATATATTGGAGCTTATGTTTCGATCTGCAGAAGAATTCCTTCAGACATATTGTGTTGTGAAAACTCCATATGGAAGGTAACTGACAGTGCAGCTACACTGGCAAGCCAAATTGGAGCAAATCGGCTTCACTGTGACTTGATTCACAGTCTCTTATGGTTGTATTCAATTTAGGTGATCACACAAAGCTGGATTGTTTTATTGCCAGTGTCTGCATTGGTCTTCAATCCCTTGATGCAGGCCCACAGCTGCCATTCTTTTGATATCGCTCATCTGGTGATCCCAGACTCGCCTGTCTATGGTTTTTTGTTGTTGTTGTTTTGTTGTGGTGGTGGTGGTGGTACAAAGATGATCTACCACAAAACATATGTATGAATCCAGTGAAATGGTGATCTGGTGCTAAACTAGGTAGTTTGTAAAATTTAAAGAAATATTTCTGAGTGGCTAGAGAAAAAGATCATGGGGGTGAGTTTTCCTGCTGTTCCAAAACAGTATACCCCAGCTTAACATGTTACCCATACCTCATCCCAGAGTAACACATTCCTACCCCATTGTTTTGCAGAACAAAACAAACCATCACACAGGGAAAACACCTCTAGCATATACTTGGCCAGGTCATTGCAGCTCCTCATCAGCTTCATCACCTTTGCTTTCTCTTGCATTGACTTTATCTTGTTTCAATCATTCCAGCTTTAAACAAGGAGAAGCCCCCAAGCAGCAGGGGAGAAACATCTAAAGAGAGGCAAAAAGGGCCAGGCTGGTTGGCATTGGCCTTTGCTTCATGTGAAAAGATGCTTAAAATTCACCCATCCTGATTGTGGATCAGATCCTAAAGTATATGTAATTCTGGTTGAAGTGTCAGTTGACATAGTCCAACACAATAGAAAGGAAAGAGAATTTAACATGGCCTAAGTGAGACTGTATACTCAGGACAACTTCTTTTTCCAGCTACTAGGTAATATTGTTATTCTGGCTGCAGTTGATTTATCTATTGGGTGAAATAAATTTTATCCCAAATTTTTTGATATGGGGTTTGTCACATTTCTGTGTGCCTCCATCCCCAACCAAAAAGGGAACCTTGTGTTTCAGTACAGTATTTGGGGCGGTGGTGGGGAGGCTGAATGTCTGACAGCTCTTTGTCTAGCAAGTCTGGGAGAGACATTCCTGTCAATATCACCAGAGGTGAAATCTGAAACGGCACCTCTAACTAAAGCCTGCATTTTAAAATTGACTTTAAACAAAGCAACCTAGCCTGCACATCTGGCCATGATTTTTGGAACTTTTATGGTTTTTTTCTGTACCCTTCATGGCATTGTGGTATCCAGCCTGATGAAAACCTCTATGGTTGAAAAGCTAGCTTCTGTTTATAATTTTCTAGTGGTCCAGTAAAGGTAGAATCCACCCCCACTTTTGGATTAAGTTGATGTACTTTCATTTCTTTTTCTGTATGTACTGTATGCTCCATCCCCTTTTTTTCTCTTGAATTTTAAATTGCAAGCTTCTTAATATATGGGCGTATCTTCTTTTACTGGTAAAACTGCTGCACACACTGTCTGAAGCAAATGCGTCATGATAATAGTAATGATGTCCATATTTCTGTGACTATGATACTTTTTTTTTAATTACAGGTATTGACTATAAAACCACAACAATCTTATTAGATGGCAGAAGAGTCAAATTGGAACTCTGGTAAGTTTACAGCGGGAGCTATATTAGAGTGTTTGTCTGACCCGAGAAAGGAGATCTTGCTTTCATTAAGAGGATGTGCCTCATACATTAGAAGGGTCTCATGTGTTTTTGGAGGGCTTTATGATGTCTCTTACTCATAAAGTAAGTGTATTATGCCATTACCACCCTGTCTTCCATAGTCTTTTCAACAGAAGCAGTCTTTCTTCTTCTTATTGTGAATGTACATCTGCAAGAAAACAAGTTGCTGTGCGCTATATAACATAGGAGTAACACTTGGGAAACATGCCCATGGATCTACAATCTAGGTAGAAAACCCATGAAGAAAAGCAAGGAAGGGCAATGTGTGGGGGGAGGGAGTGGGGTGTGTGCTAAGTCACTTCTTTTTCTGTTTTTGTTTCATTTCGTTTTGTTTTTTAACAGATGAGGATCAAGCATCTTCATCAGTTTGTGGTTTAGGTGGACCAGTGGATTGGTTTTGTTTCTCCTACACCTGATTCTTTGAACCTGAGGGTACTGGCTCTTTAAATGCTTGAGTTCACCCTTGCTTGAGTGCCTCATCTACTGAGGACCTGGCTCCCATTTAATGGATGCTATTTGGGCATTCATTGTTTCTTGGCCTGCTTGCTTCATGGTCATATGCAGTTTCTTACATATGCAGGATGGAGTTGATGAGAAATCAAGAGTCTCTGCCGTATTGGTTTTCACTATCTTTGATGTGGCAAAGTGCAGTTCCGAGATAGTGAGACTTGCTGTAGCCTTTTCTTTGTGTTATGTTGCTTATGCATATAACTCCATAAAACACTCCAGGCAATACACAAATAAATAATGTACTTTAATATGTCTGTGGTTTGCACAGTAATAATATCTGTGTTATGTCTTTGAACTGTTTAGAGTCTTATAACTCCCTTTGGTTGCAATGGACAGAAAATCCCTCTTTCTGGGAAATCTGATACAGGGAGCTGTGAGCGACAAGACCTCCAGCTGCTTGTTCTGTGCCTCTCCCTGGTCACTGAGCACAGCAGGGCCCGAGACCCTGCAAAGTGCTCCGCGGATGACCTGACCCTAGCCTGCACTTCAGTAGGCACTTGTTTAGGTCATCACAGTGCTCTACATAACATCACAGATGTCCGGTGATGCCCCTTGGTGTGCAGTCACATTCAAATAGATTCAAAAGCATGACTTAAACCTACACAAGCACGGAGTCAGCTGCTATCCTTAACGCACCCTGTGTCTGTTTACTACAGAACACATTGTACTCCTAAACACAGTTGCAATAATTGCATGCTGCACTGTTGGCCTCTGGAGTAGCCATTGAATGCCGAATCCAAACCTGTCTTCTCTAGCCAGAAGCTGATGACTTGTTTTGTAGCAGCTTTTAAAGTAAATAGTAATCTGAGTATTCTCTCCACTACCATGCAGTATAAAAGGATTGCTTCCAAAACATGTATTGTGTATCTGTGATAGTGCTTGGGGAAACACTCTCTTGACCTGTGCATTAAAACACCTTCACAAACAAGTTGGATCTCTGTGTTCTTGGGCTCCAAGCTAGATGGGACACATTTACCACACAATCCTGGGCAGAAACTTAAGAGGCACAGAAAGAGCCAGGCTGGACTTAATGAAAGAGGCCTGCTTAAAACCTTCTTTTCCACAAGGGCCAAACATATATATATGTCCGTCATACTGGAGATGTAGCTGATATGTAGACCTTCTTTTCCACAAGGGCCAAACATATTCCACAAGAGCCAAACCGGAAGGACGGTTGAAGTGCGATTTCACCTTCTCCATTATCCCAGCAGCCCATGTATAGAAAAGTATCCTGTTTGTCATACTGGAGATGTAGTTGATATGTAGCTGTCATGACTAGTAACCATCGGTAGTCTTATCTACCCTCTGTAAACACTACAGAAAGAAAGTACAGTGGTGCCTCGCTTAACGATTTTAATTGGTTCAAAAAAATCATCGCTGTGGGAAAACATCGCTAAGCGAAACACGGTTTCCCATTGAAATGCATTGAAAACCGGATAATCCGTTCCAATAGGAACAAATTGCCGTCCTTAAGCGAAAATCGCCATAGGAAACATCACTAAGCGAAACGCGGTTCCCCAATTGAAATGCATTGAAATCTATTCAATGCATCTCAATGGGGGGGGAAATTCAACAACAAATTTAAAGAGAGTCGGAACAAAGTCAAATTAGTTTAACAAAGGGTTTATTAATGCACTTATGATTTCAAGCATTCTAAACATTTGTAAACATTTTTAAATATTTAAAAAACAGCCAACATGAGGCTGTCAAAATCATTGTTAAGCAAAACAAGGGGACCCAAACTGTCATCGCTATGCGAAGCATGGTCCCAAACATCGCTATGTGAAAATCGCCCATAGGGAACATCGTTAAACGGAGCGCAAGATCGCTCTGAAGAAGTCATCGCTAAGCGAATTCGTCGTTAAACAAAGTGCTCATTAAGCGAGGCACCACTGTAGTATGCATTCTCATTGGCTCTTATCAACATACACTGTAAAATACCACATATATTTGCCACCTATTCCTCTGTGGGAAGAAATTATTGGTAGGTTCTGTGCACAGGATGAGTGTAGAAAAAGTATCGGGGGGAGAGAAAGGTAGCCCATAGGGAACATAGTTAAACGGAGCGCAACATCGCTCTGAAGAAGTCATCGCTAAGCGGATTTGTCGTTAAACAAAGTGCTCATTAAGGGGGAGAGAAAGGTAGTCAGAACAAGTTACTTAGATATGGAGTGGAATAGTATAGCCTATACTAGAATCTGAGATCCTTTAGTTTATGAAACGCTGCACCCCTTGGGATATACTGTACATGGTTTGATGTCTTCATAAACAATCAGGAAGTATTACCTAGAATACATTTTTAATTTCCGTTTCTGTATTTGTTACTGTCAAATGACCACTGGCTGGGGAAATGGAGTAGTAAAGTCTTACACTTTCTTCCCTGTTACTGTTGTTGTTTCTCTTCTAGGGATACATCAGGCCAAGGGAGGTTCTGCACCATTTTCCGATCCTACTCCAGAGGAGCTCAGGTGTGTATTGCCAACAAAACTATTTAGTTTCTCTGATTTCTTTCCAGGCAAATCCATGTGTTTGTGCGGAGAAACATTTAATAACATTGTCAGTTTGTTAACAGCTGGAAGTGCATGTTGGAGGAGCTAGTGAACCATTTCTTGGAATAGTTCGTATGGATTCACTCCTACCTTCTTGCATAAGACTGAAGGGTAAAGGATGCTGCCCATCAGCCCTCCATGGGAATGATTACATGCAACTCTTTGCCACATTTATTTCCCCTCACTTGCTTTTAAAAGACACAAATAACTTCTGGAATCAAATGGCTTTTCTAGGCAGAACATCTGTTCTCCTTAAAGTACCAGGTTCTGCACTGACGTTTCTGGTATTTTTCTTCCGCCGTTCCTCCCACCTTGCTTTGTACAATTCTTTATTCTTTAACTTTTTATCTCTCTTCTTTCCTGCTAAAAACATGATTTATATTTATTTATTGATTGATTTGGTTTGATTTGATTTATACCCCACCCATCTGATCTAAAAGACCACTCTAGGCGGCTTCCAATATAGTAAAAACAGTGAAATAATACAAAAATTACATAAATCGTACTGTAATAAACACAATACAGTGATAGAATAGAAAATACATAAGGAGAGAATAAATAGAAAAGTCAGATATTAACTGGAGGGAAGGCCTGAATGTATAGCCATGTTTTTAATTGACTTTTTAAAGTGCCCAAAGTGGGGGCCACGTGGATCTCAGGAGGGAGATTGTTCCAGAGGCGAGGAGTCACCGCCGAGAAGGCCCGGTTTCGTGTCTTTTCACTAACACTTGCTACTGGTGGCGGAGTTTACTGATTTCCATTTGCAGTTTTTGTCCATGGTTGACGCCTTTCGTGAGAAACACTCAAATAGCACTCAAAAACATTTTTAAAAAGTAAAATCTTCTGTTTGCTTGCTTGCTTGATCGCTTGCTTGTTTGTTTAAAATATTTTTACCCTGCCTTTCTCCTCGAAGGGACCCAAGGCAGCTAGAGGACTTCACTAGAGAAGTTCTAGCAGAGAAGTGGAAAAGCAGAGTTCTTAAAGAGAAGTGGGTACTTAGTGGGACGTGTGGACAAAACTTCTGCTACAGCCCACCCTCTTTCAGCAGCAAGCAAGAAAGGGTGGGATGGGACAGATGTTCCACCTGGAAGAAACATTAGTATTGGAGGACATATTCAGGGAAGATTAGATGTCTCTGACTGGTGTTTATTTTCAGGTTGAAAACCAAGCTGGCTTCCCTGCCAAGTTCTTCTCAGAGATATTCCGCTGGTGTGGATAAGAGTATAAGGATAGCTGAGTTCATGACAATCATGACTCAAAGCTTAAACCTTTTTTTTTCCTTTTTGATGAAAGTTTCATGGCTTGTGTTAGTCAAAATTCTGCAGATATAAAGCATTTAACTTTTAATATTCTTCCATACAGAGGCCATCTGAATGCAGTTAGATACTTGATGTGGGAAAATGTGACTCAAAAATAAAACACTTATTTAATTAAACTGCGCTTCCAAGCCTCAATATCCACAAACTGAATATGTTGCTGTCAGATCACACTAAGAACATTCAGCAGTAGGTAATGTTATTTAAAGCCATGGATATGTAGCTCATAGACAGGTATGTTCTCATTTTCAATCAATAGCTTTTCTGACAGCTATTCAAGACCTAAGAGAACCTGGTTCCTTCAAGATACTGTATTGAGATGGCTTCTGAACCCGCAAGTTCAAACTCTGTGGTGGTCTTGCCTCTGTTGTAGCCCAAAATATAAGAGTACTGTATAGTAGGAACTATACTACAGTATATGAGTTGCTCAGGCAGCAGGTTGGCCTCCTGTATGTTGAATCTCCAAGGCAGATTATTCTGGTAGTGACCTTAAGATGAGCCTTGGCAGTGTCAGACCAAAAGCCTATCTGGTTTAACACTCTGTTCATTCAAGAGTTAACCATCCTGCCAGACGCATCAGAGTAAAGACTTCCTTTCACACAGGAGGGGATGATTGGATCTTAGCCCTAGCCGCCATAAATTTATCCAATCCCCTTTTAAAGCCATCCAGGTTGTCCGGCATTGCTGTATCCTGTGTCATTGAATTCTGCAGTTTAACATCCACCGTGAGAAGATGTGCTTTTTCCTACCTGGCCTAAAACCTCTGGTATATAGTTTCAGGATCTAGTACTGTAAGAAAGTGAGAGGAAACTGTAGCTGACTTTTTTCCCCATACTTCTATATGATTTTATACACTTGCGTCTTATCTCCCTTTACCAGACTTTTTAAAAATGCTAAACAGCCCCAAACATTATGGCCAGGCTCTCACTCCAGGTACACTTCTATGAGAACATTTCACAAGCCTGTGCCAGCCTCACTGCTTTTTTAGTTTGACTTGCCAGTAGTGTTTTAACAGAATACATTTGCAGGTAAGCAACACGGATAGTTTTTTTTTAAAAAATTTAACTTTAAATTTATTTGTTCATTGTTTTGTTCCACATAGGGAATCCTCTTGGTATATGACATCACCAATCGTTGGTCTTTTGATGGCATAGACAGATGGATGAAGGAAATAGACGAGGTAAGAATTGTTGAGATCGCATTGGGATTTCACAAGCCAGAGCTTTTTTATGTTTATATACCACAAAATTTTGTCAGGATGCAAGAGAATATCTTTGGATTCCTACAAGATGCTTATATTGTTGTAGCAGGCTGCACAGCCCACACTGGTTCTTATCAATCCCTGTTATTCAGCTGGATAATTGAGAAACTGAACCAACCTGCTCAGCTTATGACCAGAAGTGTTGAACGGGCACTCTGCCCTCCCAAATGCCAACTGTTAATGATCTGAGCTCTGGCTAGCACAGTTGTGTGAATATTCTTAAATATGTGCTATGTTTTGTTCCTTAAAGCATGCCCCTGGTGTACCTCGCATCTTGGTTGGCAACCGGCTTCATCTGGCTTTCAAAAGGCAGGTGCCAACAGAGCAGGCCCGGTCCTACGCAGAAAAAAATTGCATGACATTCTTCGAGGTCAGCCCTTTGTGCAATTTCAACGTGATTGAGTCCTTTACGGAGTTGTCACGCATTGTCCTAATGAGGCATGGCATGGAGAAGATCTGGAGGCCCAACAGAGGTGAGTCAGCCTTGACTTCTTTGTTCCTGCCCTGCAAAAGGCAGCTGTGGATGTTCTAATAGCAATTGTGTTGTTTTTCTAGGATGTGTAGAATTTAGGAATGAGAGGACATGCCATTCCTTCTGTTGCTACAGTCATTATCATATTGCAGATCCCTACTAGAAGTATCCTGTTGATTCAGTGGGGTTTACCTAGGTGTTGACTTACCATTAAATGGCTGAAATTCTGTTGTTGTAACTCAGTGGTTCCCAAGCCTCCAACTCGTGGCTTCTTCAAAAAGCCCCACTGCTCTTGATGCGATTCTGACCCTAATAAATCCCACCCTCCTGGCCTCCCTTCTCAAACCTCCTGTGACAGTACAAATCTGCCTGTCTTAACAGGGAACTTCAGATTTGTTTTTGAAAAGGCTACCTTGGCACTCATAGCAGGAGTTGGCGCATATGTTACAACTGGGAAGTTTAGATGGAGTGAGCATTTTGGGGTTCCTTTGTAAGCGCCGTAGGCATCACTTGCGCATGCAGTTACATTCTTTTCTGTTGTATCCAACTGCTTGATGTTTTTCTAGAGCCTCCTGGCAAAAGAAATATGACAGACTTTTTTGATGGAGCTCCATCAAGGGCTTTCTGTAAGGTGCAGTTTAGTACTCTTGCCAGAAGATGGCATGGCGTTCTTTATTGTTGAGGACTTTTTTTTTTCATTTAGTCATAGAGAATTTCTTCAGATAAAACTTAAAAATTGAGATCCTGTCTCTCTACAATCAACGCAGAAGCTGCATCGGGCAACATTCTCTTTCATCTTCTGCCTTGAGGCAAAAAAAAAAAAGAGAGAGAGAGACAGATCTGATCTCTGCTTGGAGGAGGAGTGCTGGTTTGCCACTAGTACACAAGCATTTGGGGGTATTGTATGTAGGATCCTGAAGTGCAAGAGGATAAATGAGGAGAAGAAGAACATTTCATTCTCAGTCTGACATTAGTCCAGTCTTCACAAACTGATGGAACACAGAAAGCTGGTTTATCTTTTTAAACAAGTCAGTCTTTCAGCCTCTGAGAAATTTGTCCTCGATCTCAGTAGTTTAAGTAGGTATTAGTTATTGCCCTCGGCTGCCTGCACGGAGCCTGTTCAGCCCATCGTTGCTTTAACTGGAGTACTGGAAAGAGGGCACATTTGCTTTCCTCACTCTGCTTCACCACCGCTCCCTGTGGCCTCATGAAAATAAATGTGCCTCCTCTAGCATTGTTCTACTTCAGATGGTCAGGATTTTGCGCGCTGCGTAGCAAGAAGCCTGAAGCCCCGCATTCTCATGGGTGAGCGCCACTTTTGCTCCTAGGGTCTGAGTCCAGCACTGAGAAGGGGCCAGAGTTCACAGCTATTTGCCTCAGGTTGCCAGGGCTTATCTGCTTGTGAAGTTGGAATGCACTCTCTTCCAAGGCATGTGGCATGTCTGCTCACCTCTAGGCCAGGCCTGTCCCCTCTCATTGAATCTTCAGGCAGGGAAGCCCTCTTCCCATTTTAATTGCAGTCTCTGGGGCTTTGTCTGGAAGGGAATTGATATGCAGTGTGTCTTCTGCAGACATGACTTGCCCAGCCAGTCGGCATTCTCGCCAGCCAGTTGTGGGGAAGCATTAATTACACTGACAGTGGCTCAAGAAACTTGATTAGTACACAAGAATGTGGGGGGGAAAGCCGGAGGTTCGTTCTCAGGCCTGAAATTCTCCTGGCCCATGTCATTGGTTCCTTGCTTAACTTTCCCACCTGTGAAATGGGAAGAAAAAGCGTTGCTCCCAAAAGAGGATAATCTTAAATACGCCAACTAAGGGGTATAGCCCTATAAACGGGTCAAGCAATGAGCCTAGAAACAGAGCTAGATGCGAAACCTAGGGCTGTTTTTAATAGTGGTACAGTGGTGCCTCGCAAGACAAATGTAATTCGCTCCACGGTTAATGTTGTCTTGCAAAAAATTCATCTTGCAAACCGTTTTTTCCCATAGAAATGCATTGAAATCTAATTAGTGTTTTCCAGTGGGCAAAAAAAAAGTCAGAACAAAGTCAAATTTGGTTTACAAAGGGTTTATTAAGTGCCCTTTAAAGCCATACATATTGTGCAGATGATTAAAAAAAATTCAATCAAAAAACTTTTTAAACATCATATAAAAACATTTTAAAATCAGCAAACATGAGGCAGGAACAAAAAACAGAAAACATTTGTCTTGCGAAGCACAGCCATAGGAACATTTGTCTTGAGTAATCAACAACAACAACCCCCCCCCACACACACACATATTGCCAAAACCATTTTATTGCAAGTTTTTTGTCCTGTGAGGCATTTGTCTTGCGAGGCACCGCTGTATCATTAATTCACCTAAACTGTTCTTTTCTTAACTATTTAGTGGTCATAGTTGGCAAGAAACAGGTGAAAAATGTGAGTAGAGACAGTTTGTTATAATCCTATTAGAATCCATTGTACCAAAGAAAGCATAAAAGTCCAGAGTAGTGCTTCTGGTTCAGCTGGTGGACTCTAAGCCTACGTAGCCTCTTTGAATAAATGGGCAAAACCAGACCACGTCAGGGATATTTCTGCGGAGCAACCATAGCACAGAGAAAAGAGCACTTCTTCGCCCTCGGAGTGAAGCAGCATCACAATGGATCCTTTGTATCCCATTTAGCAGTTGTACTGTTAGAAGGGTAGTCAGCAATTTGAATTAAGATAAGGGGAAATCGAAAGTAGTACTGTACCGTAAATTTAAGGCAAAATGACTTCTGAGCCTCCCAATAAAGCCCGAGACCTCCCCTGGACACTCCAACCACTAAAGCGCTAGGGAGGGCTCAGATCATGTTACCACACATATCTATCCATTTGCAGCTGCTCCACCAGCCATTTCACAGAGCTGGAACAATGAAGAAAGAGAGGGACTTGCTTTGTTGTTTAAATGATTAATTTCTTTTTGTTTTGCATTCTGGGACATTATTTTTCTTTGTTCCGTCACTCAGCTTGGTTTACTAAACTTTACTGCAATGTTGTTACAATATTAGGATTGAGTAGTATGACTGTGATGATCATGGTGTGGAGTTGGAGTATATACAATTAAGGTGCTGTTAGTGCTCCTCAGGTCAAATCCATCTGCCTCCCCCCTTCTCATCTGCAGGATTTTTTTAAGGAGATGCAGTATAAAAAAGCAGAAACCAAGGGATAGAACAGTTGGAGATTCTCCTGAAAGAGTACAAGGTGATCGAGCCTCAATTTGTCTGCCCTTTGAGCACAGAGAAGGTTGAGGAGCTTTGGCACACCACTAGTTAGGTTTCTGTATGGACTGATAGCTTACCCCAGAACGCTTTCATAAAACAGGATGCCTCATTCAGGTCTTCCTACATCAAAAGGTCTGTCTGGTGAATGGGAACCTATGTATGACAGGTACAAGATCTACTTAAAAAAATAATGCAGTAAATGAAATGCAATTCATTCAATACTTTATCCCCTCTTTCCATTTAAAAAAATAACTGGATAGGATTATGAAACAACAAAAAATAACTGTTGATAATAAATATGAGAGAACAGATGAAACAAAATTCAAACTGAAATGCCAGTGCAGTTGAATAAGATTCTGGTAAGGAAGTAAGGAAAAAAACTATTGCCATGTTGCTGGATGTTATGAGCTGTTTTTTTTTCCTGATGAATTGCGGCTATTTATTATTTATTTATTTTCTAATATTTGTACATTGCCTTTCTCTCAAAGGAGGCTTACAGAACACAATGAATTTGGTCACCAGAAAGTGTAGACTATATCAATCCCTTGTGATATTTCTAATGGGGGAAATGGTATGAAAGTGGATTTCAGGAATACCCTGACCATTTATTGGGATATTTTGATCTGAGATGTATGACCTTGAGATACTTATTTGTGATATATGGGTGGGGTGGTCTCCTCAGCAGGTACACAGCCTGAGAACCAAGACAGGAGAAATGGCTGACACTTGAGAAGCAGATGTTAGCTTATGAGAGTGGCTTTTCTGTTCTTCATTTTCAGCGTCGGAGAACGATCTCTTCTTCTGTTCCAGTTCGTACTTCCCTTCTGACCCGGGTACCTTTTCTTGACTCTTTCAGTGTTCAGTCTGCAAGACCTCTGCTGCCGTGCCATTGTTTCCTGCACACCAGTCCACCTCATAGACAAGCTGCCTCTTCCCGTCACCATAAAGAGCCACTTGAAGTCCTTCTCCATGGCCAACGGCATGAATGCCGTGATGATGCATGGCCGCTCATACTCCTTAGCCAGCAGCGGCGGAGGGAGCAGCAGCAAAGGCAACAGCCTGAAGCGCTCCAAGTCAATTCGCCCTCCCCAGAGCCCGCCCCAGAACTGCTCGCGGAACAACTGCAAGATCTCTTAGCAAGCTGGTCCTGGGGAAGGTCTCCTCCAGCTGAGCGACGCCTGCACCTGCTCACTGATATACAGATGTTTACACGCATGTCACCCATTCCTCTTGCCAGTCTGGTGGCAATGCCTCCCAGATGGGCAACAAGCTTGTCAACGAGCATTAGGTTGGCAAGACCCCATGGGGGTGAGGGCAAGGTGGTGCGTCAAGCCAAACTTGCCAGCATGCGGTAGGTCTATTCCTTGCCCTGCTCTGGAGGGAGGACTGTGTGGCTGCCTCAAGGAAATGACTCTTCCTCATTCGTGGGGTAGAGCTAAGGGTAGCTGGGATTCCGTGCTGCAACTTTAAACTTTAACCATTGCACTTGGGCTCCCAAGTGGGTTGCTGGTGCTAAAGTGAACACTGACTCTTTCAAAGGGGAAAAAAAGGGGGGGCAAGGTTTGTCATAGTCAACCCAGGCTGGCTGGGGATCCTTCAGAAGCAGTCCACTTGACATTTTCACTCACTTATAAAGGAATTATGTCACTACTTCTAAAAGGTCTCCTGGAGTGGCCCGCTTTTTTGAAAGGAATGTCATTGAGAGAAATTGTTGTGCTGCCTTGTAAATAGAAGCCACCGAGCCTTGACTCCCCGGGCTAATTGAAGTAAGAAGGGGTTTAGTAGGGTTCAGGGGCAAAATGATCAAACACTCCTGAGAATTGTAGAAAAGGCACAGGGTTGCTCTTAATACTCTTTTTCTTTAAAAAAAAATGTAAAATTTATGTTTGTGAAAGTAAGGAGAGATTTTTCTTTCTTTCTGAACCTGAGTTTTCCAGACATTCCTGTTAACAAGTTCAAGTGGATAGCAAGGGCAGAGTTTGAAGGGCATTGCTATGTTGTGGGGGTGGGTAGTTCTCACCCCATCCGGAATTAGTTAATTATTGACCTGTGGGATGCATTAAAGCTATTCCTGCCTCCAGGAGCCTGAAGACAAAAGAGTTTGCTGTTCCAAATCTCAAAAGATCGTGATTGAAAGAAAAGGAGATAACACCATCAGAAAATGTCACTCTTTTATGTCTTGACATAATTCCTGGCTGTGCAAGGCATGGAGAGATCTTAGGCGCTTGTGCTATAGCATGTTCTCCTACTGGACAGAAATACTTGCACGTTATGCCAGCTTGCTTTGACAGTGTGGCTCTGGTCTGGTGGTATTGCTTAAAAAATCTTCTTTGAGTTGGAGAGCAGCTGGAGCCCACACGATTTTAAAAATCCAGGGCACATTTCCTTTGATTCTCTTCTCTCCTGTCTTCTCTTCTCAAGGGTTATCATCATCGGCCAACATTGAGCAAGGAAGTTGCTACTAAAGTTACAAGAGCCTCTTCTCTTAGGGATCGGAGGTGGGGAGAATATTGAGAAACTGATAAGATTGTGCCACCATACCTTAGAACGGAGGTGGCCTCAATCCAGTGGTAAGCCCGAGTTTTGTTGGGTGTTTTGTTAAACTGCTTCTTACAGTCCGTGCAGATGTTTGAGCTCCTCAGGCCTAGTTCCAGCTTTGATGGGGTTTTCTTGTTCCCTTTCTGTGCAGCCTGACCCTTGTTCACATGGATTCTGAAGACTCAAGAGTTACGTCTGCTGCTGCTCATGCTTATTAGATGCATGTTGAACTAGAATTGAAAGGAAGCCACTGCAATTTGCCTCTGCAAGCCCTGATAGGAAGCGTTCTAAGTTAAAGAGAGAAGGGGCTTGATAGTAAATGAACCAAAAGGGGATAGAGGGCAGTCATTTGACATCTCTTTACAATACATCCTACCCACTCCAGTATTCATATTCCCCCCCTTCCCTTCTCCTTTTGGAGCTAGCTGGTGAAATGTCTTCTCCCAGGTGTCTTATCCACAATGGCAGCTGCTCCCCAGCTAGGAATGGTTGCCCAGCACATCCTTGATTGGAATGGGTAGTATGATGCTGTGAGATGCTCTCCGCACAGCTGACCACCCGTTTTGTTCAGGAACTTCTGACCGAAGCCTGGCTGGCAGGGCTGCATCTTGCTGCCTGCTCTTGAGATTGCTTGGCACGAAGGGGTAAGCCAAGCCCCACTGTTGGCACAAGCTCAAGCAGGGTGGCAGGGACAGGTCAAGGGCAGGGGAGAGCCTTTAGCGGCATCTCATCAGACTCAGAACAAAGCTGAAGCCAAATCCAGGCCAGGAGCATGGAAGCTCGGAGATTTACAGGGCATGTCCGCAGAGCCAAGGCCACCTGTTGCCACTTGCTCAAAATGGAGTGGGAGACAATCACTGACTCAACAGCCTGGCATTCTGGGGATGTGCTGTGAACAGGTGATCCAGGAGGCAGCCTGAACAGCCATCTTTCCACCCTGGGTTTTAAAATAGACACATCCCAAAACAGCTATAGAATGTGCATTGTGTTTTTGTTTCTGAAGAATTACAGGGAACACCCTCTATCTATCTATCTATCTCTCCCCTCTCTCTCTTTCTCCAGCTTGTCAGCTGTAAATCCTCCCTATTGTCTCTCCAATAGATGATAAAGCTTGTACATAAGTTCTATGGCTGCGAATTTCCTTCCCACCCCCTTTTCTTATTGAAGAATAGAAGAAGATGCTGCTGCACATAAAAAAAACCTGTTTTCAATTGTCTGTACTCATTCTGTCCTCTTGCCTTCCATTAGTTGTACATGCATATTTTTGGCCTCACCTAAATGCCTAATTTTTCTTTTTCTTGCGCTTTAATCGTGGCAAATTCTTTGGAATGAGATTCTCTGGAATGTCTGCCAATCACAGCTGAACTTGTACCTTATTTTATTAATGTTCAACTCAAAAGAATGTGATATCAAAACACTAGAAACTAGCTGCTGTTAAACACTTGTACCATTCCTCTGTTTTTAATTCCTTTGTATAGTAAATGTTGTTAAACTGATGGGTTTTTTTATATAAATTTTGAAAAAATTGTTTTAAAACCATCCTGCAGCTGTGGAAGTTCTCGGTGGTGACCAAATCAGCTCTTGAAGGGAGTGGGGGGGGTTGCTGAAGGACAGTGGGAGGGCAAAGAAGAAGTGGGGGGAGGGGGGAGAAGCAGGATGGATTTAAGAGGATTAAGGGGGCTTGTGTTGATGGGATATTCCCAGGAGGGAGTGGTGGAAGGCACTTTGCTAACTGCATCATTTGAAATGAACAGGCATTTGGCCATGGACCAGAGGTTTGGATCAAAGCTTTCTTCACACTTGCGTGAATTGAGAATTTCCATTCTGTGCCAAAAGAACCAGCATTTGCCCATCACTCCATAGATGCTTTCTGGGTCTTTTTAACCACAGGAAAACATCTTAGAAAATAGGAACCTGTGAAGAAAAACACCACAGTGTGGTATAGCCTCCACTCGAGTTGAGTTGCAATAATTGTTCTTCATTGATAAAAGGAGCAAGCAAATCTTTTGGGAAATCTTACGTCTATAAAGGCTTTTATTTCACTCATTAGATTGATGGCCTGCCTTTCTTGCCACATGGAACTCAATGGAGAGTATGTTGAGGTTGCCGTGTTTTTTGACATACAGATACTGACCAGACTCAAACTAGCCTAGCTTCAGCAACATCATCGCAAAATCTCAGGCATCCAGACTACACTCAACCATGTTGTTCTTCCATGAGTGAAAAAGTTTAGTATACTTTATCAAAAGAAGAGATATGAAGTCTGTTAACTTTTTAAAACGAATGTTTGGTTTTATTTTTTACAGTTGCGCTTTCCTATCTTTTCAGAAAGACTGAGGAGGGGAGGTGACTACCCTAAGCAGAATACATTGGAGCATCTTTTAAAATTTGCTTGAATCATCCTGCCAGCATTCCTTTCTGTCTCAAATCATCACTGGTCTGAGACACGAGCAAACTGTACATACAATACTTGCTCACCAGAGAAAGGAAGGTGAACACAACTGATATAATGCATGTAGCAAAATGAGTAAGACTTGAGCTATACGTTATGAAGCCCCTTGTTAGAATCATGCCTATATTAGGAGTTATCAAAAATGCTTAAAGCAGGCTACCTTCAGATCCCATTCTGTTTGCAATATGCAATGTACTTTGAACAGGGTTTTGCTTTTTTTTCCACTACCCACACGAGTAATACTATACCAGTTCTCTCTAGGCATATGAATGGGTGTATCTTTGCTTTGCAGTCCTTTCTGAGATTTTATTAAGTGGATAGGTTGCCTGTAGTAAAAATGTCCAAGGACCTCAAAAACTAAACTTGCATTTAAACTTACATTCTATACTGCTTTCCTTATTTCAATAATGGCTATTATCATTGCTGTCACAAAACATAACCGGGTTTATACATAATGCTAAATTGTGGTTTAATGTTCCATGCGAAACACAGAGGCGTATGAACTCTTCCTGTGCTGTAGCTACTGCAAGGAATTTGGAAGTTTTTGCTTCTGTTTTTAAACAAATTCCTCATTACATGCAGGCTTGAATGCTGATGATTTTCAACTACAGTTAATTGATGCAAGTTGATCCTAGGTTTTTAAATATCCTATGCAGAGTTTCCCCAGATTTGGACAAAGGGGGGGGGGAGAGCTAAAGGTGTCCCTATCTGTATGTTTGGATAATAGCTCTCGGAGTTCACTGGCCAAGCTGTCTGGAGTTGTAGTCAAGAAATTCACACACCTTTACAAAATGACACCTTAATTTAAAACAGAATCAGGGACAAAAAGAGTGCAAGTCTTTCTACTTGAGTTGTTTCAGCTTTGTGGAAAATTTACATCCAGGGCTGCCTTTTACCTGACCTCCTCTAAAACGACTTACTGTTTTGGAAGCAGGTAGTAAAGGTCTAATACCCCCTTTCCCTGGTCACTGATGTTAATTGCATAAATCCACATTTTTCATGTGAGAGAAAGAAGCAGGCTTTTGGATGATGTCCTTTCATGTCCTCGGAAGAAATTATTCTTGCTATTTGATCCCCCACCCCTCTTTAATCCTTGTAAGCTGGGAACAGAAGAGTGTGAGGAGAGGCACTCTAGCTATCCTATTGATAGAAAATTCTCTCTTTCAAAACAGCGACTAGGCAGCAAGCGGTGGGGAACGCCAAAGGAAGCTTAGATGGGGATTGTATTGTACAGATGTCCCCTCTCTTTTTTCTAAAAAAGAAAGAAGTAGAAGAAAAACAAAAATAGGAGAGAGTAAGCGAAAAAAAAGGGGGCATGGATGTGCTCCCCTCACTGTTTCAGGAAGTGCACGGTACACTCTCGCTCCAAGGAGCCTAATCAAAGGAGTTGGTGTGATTTCAGGTGCAATTAAGAAACAAACAGTGGGAGCAGATGACGATCGCTTGTGCAGTACATTCTGTTTCTGGGCAGATGTCTTTTGTGTAAAGGGGGTCGGGGTGAAATCTGAAGCAAAAAAATTTAACTACTGGGTTGCTTCACAACTGGAACAGTTCTAGTCAGACACATTCCGGTATCAATCCTGTCTTTTGGATATCTAAAGGAACAGAAGGTTGCTGCTTTACACTCTCCTGAAACGATTCTTAATCATTGAAAGCATCAAGAGGTAGTGTCTGCAATCCATTACAGTTTTGCTGTGGAATCAGTCTAAAGGATCCCCGTTGATTGTGGTTCTTGGCTGTTCTCAGCTGATCTGTTAACACGCCAGTATGTGTATAAACTAGTACTTAAAATTTAATGGACCTCTTAAGAACAAACAGAAATCCCTGCCAGTTCTGTGCAGAAGCTGCAAGTCAGTAGCAAGAGATTTAAAAAGCTTACTTGGCTTGATTTTCTGTTAAGATCTATTTTTCAGAGTACTTTTTTTAAAAACTGAATTTAGCATTTATCATACTGCCCTTTGCAGTACTTCGAAAACCTGTTATTGTATAATTTGATGACACTCCGGTATTTGCTCCTTCCTGTTCTTTCTGACACAATAACCATTACTTTCATCCACTCACTTTTATTCCTTCTCATTAATTTGGTCAGCTACTTTGCTTAGTTTTTGAAAAAAAGAAATCATTCTAAAAAAAACACATATTTTTTCTCATCCATTGAAAAGGCTTACCTAACATCTTTGTAGACCACAGACCAGCATTTCGTTGGCTTACAGTGTGATTGAGCAGAAACATCCTCGCCCTCTTGGGCAGCACATGCTGGATGGCTGGAAGCCGCTGAAGAAGAGCGGTGTGCACCTCTTAAGCTAGAGGGTTGCTCTTGGGTGCAGTGGAGGATCATTGTTTTGGGACCTGCTTGAAAAGTCAGATTCCACAGGTGATTGGTTAGTTCCTGTACATTTTGTTCTTAGCCCCAAGCTTCAAAATACATTTTCCCCAATAGCAGTTTGCATCATTACTTTCCTCAACAGTAACTTGTATGGTGACTGTGGGTTTTCCAGGCTGTTTGGCTGTGTTCTTAAGGTTTTCTAAAGGAAGAAAAACCTTAAGAACACGGCCAAACAGCTCGGAAAACCCACAAGCACCATAGGATCCTGGACGTGAAAGCCTTCGAGAGTAATTTGTATCATTACAAAATACTTTCTCCCCAATGATAATTGGTATCATTGACAAATACATGTAAAAAAAGGATGTTTACACAGATTTGTAAATGGGATCCAATACGCCGTTTAGGAGTTGCAGTCCCTTCTGCCACAGAACCAAAAATAGGTCATTATCCTATTGGTCGGATCCTGGCCATGAAAGCCTTCGAGAGCAACTTGTATCATTACGAAATACTTTCTCCCCAATAGTACTGTAATTGGTATCATTGACAAATACATGTAAAAAAAGGATGTTTACACAGATTTGTAAATGGGATCCAATACGCCGTTTAGGAGTTGCAGTCCCTTCTGCCACAGAACCAAAAATAGGTCATTATCCTATTGGTGTTTGTATACGGTTTGTGTAATTTGCTGCAGCCAGTTGTGACTAGCAGATGAGGTGCCTGGGCATACATTGCTTGCACAAGGGGATGCTTGACCAAGCATAGGACTGAGACATGCTCTAATGCTATCAGTAAACTACACTTAGCAATGGAAAAGCTGGATGTGGGCCCCAACTGAGATTCTGTCCATAGTCTTGTAGATTTATTAGAAAGTCCGCAGTGCGTACATCTCTCCCTTCAACCCAACCAACAGGACCCAAACATGGTTTAGCATTTATTTATTATCTCACCCATCTAGTGGCTAAGGTCACTAGATCCTCTCCAACAAATAATTTGGCCTCAATCGACTTTTTAACTCTTAATAGTACAACCTAAATTTTAATCTCTGTCTTTGCTGACAGCAAACATGCATGCATTTCTGCCTGAAGATCATGTTCTCTGGCTGCCTCATGAGCATTCAATGCATGTCACAACGCCTTTTACATTTGAGACTGGATGAGCTACTGGATGTTGTGCAGGTATCAAACTACACCCAAGAACTGGGTCTAGGCCAGTGATTCCCAGCCTTGAGTAACCCAGATGTTCTTAAGACTAAAACTCCCAGGAATCCTGGCCAGTGCAGCATGTGGTGAAGGCTTCTGGGAGTTTTAGCCCAAGAACTGCCGGAGAGCCTAATTTGAGAACCACCAGTCTAGATCATTTCTGAACCCACAAGGCATCAGAGAAATAAAACAGCTTTGGACAAGGAAAAGTGGTGCCTCGCTTAGCGAGGTTAATCCGTTCCGGATTAACCCTCGCTCAGCGAATCCATCGTTAAGTGAAACAAAAAAGCCCATAGGAACGTATTAAAACTGATTTAATACGTTCCTATGGACTTAAAACTCATTGTTCTGCGAGTTTTCTCCATTGCGGTGGCCATTTTGGATGCCTCGTTAGTGAGGCAAAACAGCGGTCCCCATTTTGTTTTAGCGACGGCCATTTTGGAACCGCCGATCAGCTGTTCGCTATGCTTTGATCGCGTCCGCGCGATCATCGCATAGTGAAAAAAGCCCATAGGGGCCATCGCTGAGCGAACACTCCAGCGATGGCCCGCGACCCATCGTT